CCTTCTCAAGTGAAGGTGTACAATAATTGTAGTGACCCGAGTTTAGAGCGGACATGTGTATAGGGGAGGGGGGGGGGTAGTGGGGGGGCATGGGTTGTAAGGGGGGGAGGGGAGGGGGGGTTAGTGCGGGGCAAAGGTTGTAAGGGGGGAGGGGAGGAGGGGTCAGTGGGGGCAAAGGTTGTAAGGGGGGGAGGAGGGGTATCCAGTTCCCCCTCCTCTCAACCCAAGACACCATAGAGTACCACATTGATGATGATAATTTTGTCGGGGACAGGAAGCCTGTGTATGTATATACTTGAAATCCTTCCCCCCCCCCCCCCCCGAAGGTCTAACTACTGACCCTTCCAAGGATGCAACCCCTTAACGGTCCCCGTGGCGCAGTGGTAAGACACTCGCCCTGAGCTTCGTGAGCGCTTTGGCCTGGGGGTTCGGATCTTGGCCGGGGAGGATTGACTGGGCGCCAACCCTTAACTGTAGCCTCTGTTCACCCAGTAGTGAATAAGTACCTGGTTGTTAAACGATTTGGCGGGTCGTATTCCAGGGAACATAGGATTAAAGACCTGCCCGAAACTCGCTCGCTTATTTTTTTTTTTTTTTTTTTAATCAACACTGTTTGTCAACCTATTGTATTTGTGCTGCTTTTTCAGTCATGTTCCCCCTTTTTTTTTATCTTTATTTGTATTTGTTCTCAAACACTTTTTATTCTTTATGCTCAATTAGTATTAAGTTCTAGATATTAATGTTTTTCTTGCCCGGAACGCATTGCGTAATAGTGGCTTTAGGCATTGTATGTACTAGCTCTATCTATATATCAATCCATTAATGTAACACCACTTGTATGTATGTACCTTACCTGAATAAACATTTATTTTATTTATTTATATATATATATATATATATATATATATATATATATATATATATATATATATATATATATATATATATATATAAAGGCCCGATTTGCCTAATAAGCCAAGTTTTCCTGAGTTAATATATTTACTATAATTTTTTTCTTATGAAATGATAAAGCTACCCTTTTCACTATGTATGAGGTCAATTTTTTTTTTATTGGAGTTAAAATTAACGTAGATATATGACCGAACCTAACCAACCCTACCTAACCTAACCTAACCTATATATATAGGTAAGGTTAGGTTAGGTAGCCAAAAAAGCTAGGTTAGGTTAGGTTAGGTAGACGAAAAAGCTAGGTTAGGTTAGGTTAGGTAGACGAAAAAACATTAATTCATGAAAACTTGGCTTATTAGGCAAATCGGGCCTTGCATAGTAGGCTGAGAAGTGAGTTCTGGCTACTAGGTACGACATATATATATATATATATATATATATATATATATATATATATATATATATATATATATATATATATATATATATATATATATATATAATATGAGGAGAAAAATAGGTTAGTGCAGTGTCTCTAGGCAGACGGAATGCCAGTCACATAAATAAAAACAAAAACAAAAAAAATGTAAAAAAAGTTAAGACTGGAATTTAGTAACTAAAGGATAAGACAGAGGAGAAAAAACATTTAAAAATACTTTGATAGAAAACTGACGTAAAACAAATTACAAAACATAAAATAATATCCAGACTTGGCTTTAATACAAAGTGTTCAAAATAAACAAGATGAACAAGCAAATTTACGTTACGTTAATGTGCAACGTTACGTTATTTATTACGTAAAATGTTATTACGTAAAATTTACGTTACGTTAATGACTTAACTCTTGTTACCAAGGGCCATACCACGTTGAGAACACCGCTTCTCGTCCGATCAGCCAAGTTAAGCAACGTTGGGTTTGGTTAGTACTTGGATGGGTGACCGCCTGGGAACACCAAATGCTGTTGGCAATATTTTTCTTGGGGGGTAGAAATAGCCTAAGCTACTCTATCCCTTTGAGATGTATTTATTGCTTATTTCAATAAACATGCTTGAACTTGACTTGAACTTGTTACCACACCGGGGTATGTCACAACCCGTCCTCGACTCAAGTCCATTACATTCAGCAGTCAACCCCACAGACGCATTCATAAATTTTAACATAATGTTCATTCAAAACAGGAATTTTCTCAAGTATAAATTAATATTATAATATATTAGCATATTGTGTATATATAGACATAGGTTAGGTTAGGTGTTTAGGTTCTGTTGGCGATTATTTGTATTTATAGTACGTGGGTGAAGCATTTACAGCGTTGTGATTCGAACAAAATTCGTCAGTGAAACACTTGTTCCGGATATGTTCGAATGTCAGCAGTTGTGAGTTGTGTGTAAACTGCTTTTCATTCATAAACAGCTGGGGTTTGGCGGGTGGATGGAATAACTTTTGGATCTTTGTTTGGAGGACGGGCTGGTATGTCAACAGGTCTACTCAGTAGAGCACGCAGGAGTAATCCGAGTCATGGTGGGCTGTTGTTCGTTGTTTCAGATTTAGCTACTCAGAACGAAGTGTCCATGTAGCACGGGCTATGGT